TGTTTTTAGTTTTATACATTTGTCTCGGAATCTAGCAGTTTTTTTTGTTTTGTTACCTTTTTCCTTTTAGCCATCCTATTTGTTAAAAAAAAAAAAATAAATTAAAAAAAAAACTGTAGTATGAGTTTTTATAACTGCTTATTGTTGTTGCTGTTGTCCATTGTTGTCATCTTTCTTTGTTGAAATCAGGTCTCTCTTGTAAATGAGTCCTCGAGGCTCAATGGGATTTACCTGTCTAAATAAAGGTTGATTGATTGATTGATTTTTAAAGTTTTCCAACATTTTTCAGTCAGGTTCTTTTTGTGCTGAAACGTTTCACCTTCTTCATCAAAACATCCAGGTCCAGATGACCTGACTGAAAAATGTTGGATTGTACACCTGGATTATTGAGCATGGACTTTTGTTGTTTTTAAAGTTATCATGCACATAACATGAAAACCAGTAACCAGGGAGAAACAGCCAGTGTGTCTCTCTGGTTCTGGTCCCAAGCCCGGGTAAATGGTGAGGGTTGTGTCAGGAAGTACATTCGATGTAAAACACTTTTGCCAAAACCATAATGCGAGTTCATCAAAGCAAAACCATACTGGATCGGTCGAGGCCCGGGTTAACAACGACCTCCACCGGTGCTGTTGCCAAACAGGGTGCCGGCGGAAATTGTGCTACTGTTAGTCGAAGACCACGAGGAGGGAAACGTGTCAGGAGACGGAGGAAAAGAGGAAAGTGACGTATGTAGGACTGAGGGTTGCAACTCTAAATGTGGGGACAATGACAGGCAAAGGTAGAGAGCTGGCTGACATGATGCTGAGAAGGAAGGTAGATGTTTTATGTGTCCAGTAGAAGGGCAGCAAGGCTTGCAACATTGGAGCAGGGTTCAAACTGTTTTACCATGGTGTGGATAGAAAGAGAAATGGAGTAGAGGTGGTCCTGAAGGAGGAGTTGGCAAAGAATGTAGTAGAGGTGAAACAAGTGTCAGATAGGGTGATGTGTCTGAAGGTAGAAGTAGAAGGTCTGATGCTAAATGTTGTCAGTGGTTATGCTCCACAGGTTGGATGTGATGTGGAGGAGAAAGATCTGGATGAAGTGATAGAGAGTATTCCCAGGGAGGAGAGAGTGGTGATGGGAGCAGACCTGAATGGACATGTTGGTGAAGGAAACAAAGGATGAGGAAGTGATGGGTAGGTTTGGTGTCAAGGAAAGAAACCAGGAAGGACAGATGGTGGTGGATTTTACCAAGAGAATGGAAATGGCTGTAGTCAACACCTGTTTCCAAAAGAGGGAGGAGCATAAGGTGCAGAAGGTGTATGATGAGTTGTATTTGAGACTGGACACTACAGAGGGAGAGAAGGATTTGTACTAATTTGGGAGACAGAGGGATCAGGCTGGAAAGGATGTGCAGCAGGTTAGGCTTATTAAAGATAGGAATGTTAATGTTCTAACAAGTGAGGAGAGTGTGACGGGAAGATGGAAGGAGTACTTTGAGGACCTAATGAATGAAGAGAATGAAAGAAAGAAGAGTAGAGGTCATAGAAACTGTGGACCAGGAAATGGGAAAGATTAATGAGGGTGAAGTCTGGAAAGCTCTGAAACGAATGAAGAAGGGGAAGGCAGTAGGACCTGATGACCAGTGGAGGTTTGGAAATGTCTTGGAGAGATGGCAGTGAGGTTTTTAACTCAAATATTCAATGACATATTTGAGGGTGAGAAAATGTCTGAGGAATGGAGAAGAAGTGCTGGTGGACATTTTTAAGAACAAGGTGATGTACAGAGTTGTAGCAACTACAGGGGAATTAGGTTGATGAGTCACACGATGAAGATCTGGGAGAGAGTTGTGGAAGCAAGACTTAGACGAGAGGTGACTATCTGTGAGCAGCAGGATGGTTTCATGCCAAGGAGCAGCACCACAGATCCTGTCTTTGCTTTGAGAATGCTGGGAGAAGTACAGAGAGGGTCAGAAAGAACTCCATTGTGTCTTTGTCAGATGCTTTTTCTAAATCCACAGGGTGCTGAGGGAGGAGGTGGTGTTACATGAGGAAATCTGGAGTGGCAGAGAAGTATGTTAGACTGGTACAGGACATGTATGAGGACAGCAGGACAGTGGTGAGATGTGCTGTAGGAGTGACAGATAGCTTCAAGGTGACCTGACTGAGCATTATTGGATTTGGTACCTGGCTGATTGAGCATGAACTTTGTTGGAGGTGGGAGTGCATCAAGGATCAGCTCTGAGCCCCTTCTTGTTTGCTCTGGTGATGGACCAACTAACAGATGAGGTCAGGCAAGAATCTCCATGGACTATGATGTTTGCAGATGACATCATGATCTGTGATGGGAACAGGTGGAAGAGAACTTGGAGAGGTGGAGGTATGCACTTGAAAGAAGAGGAATGAAAGTCAGTCGTAGTAAGACAGAGTCCGTGTGTGAATGAGAGGGAGGAGGTGGAACAGTGAGGCTACAAGGAGCAGAGGTCACAAAGGTGCAGGACTTCAAGGACTTGGGGTCCACTGTCCAGGCGGACAGACTCCATTTTATTTAACCTGGCAAATCCCATTGAGGTCACAGATTCTTTTGCAAGGCAGGCCTGGGCCTGAAGGTAGACTAACATGCATGTTTCTGGTCTGTGGGAGGAAACTGGAGTACCTGGAGAAAACCCACGCAGCACGAGAAGAACATGCAGACTCCACACAGAAAGATCCCCGGTCCAACCGGGGATTGAACCCAGGACCTTCTTGCTGTGAGGCAACAGTGTTAACCACTGAGCTGTCGTGCTGCCAAAATTGTGGAAACTCAGACCTCCCCCTCCCCAGTTCCTCCTGGGGATCCCAATCTGTTCCCAGTCAGAAAAGATATATAATAAATTAAATAGCAGTTTTATAGCCAATTTTTGTGTTTGTTTTTCAAAAATTGAGTACAATTATGAATACTTGAGGCTGGTATTGTATGAAACATAACCCAGTTAAACAAGTGAAGAGATGATTTAAAATTTGCATCACACCAACTAACTGATGTGTTCTTCACTCAACAGCTGCTCTGTAGTGGTTGTTAAAGCAGAGCTTCCTCAGCCGGACCACAGGAGTTCTGCACACATGGAGGACTGGCTCCACCTGCAGGTGGGCCTGAAGAGAGTAAAGAGCAACCACAGACGTGTTCCGCTCAGCAAGCTCTGTCGAAGAACGACTCGAGCCAAACGGCCGAGGAAGGGTGGAAAACAAGGTCGCAAGTTGCTCCGGCAGCAGCTGTGAGGGGAAGAAACTCCACCAAGAATTCCACAGAGCCGAACGTTCGTCTCCAAGAGAAATGAGACGTAAAATAAACGAGCACAAAGTGAACGTGTTCGTCTTTGAAACTGTAAAATCCTCTAGGATTTATAACCATATGACGTTTCAGCTTTTTGTTTTGTTAGCATAAAAACTTTAATTTCTGATTTTCAGTTTTTATAAGTCCATCGTTCGGCTGTTCTCACCTGCTGCAGCAACGATGACGTAACCAAGCGGTCTCATGCAGCACAGCATGTTCGTCTAAATCTCGTCCCTCGCTGTGGAGTGAAGAAAGGAACTGGAAATAACTCCATCCATCCGTGCACGTTACGAGCATGACATCTTAAAAACAGTGGCTTCATTTGATGTGCGGCTGGATGTAAGAAAGTTCCTGTGGAAGACTGCGTTGGTTGCTGCCACATGTCTGATAAGTGATCCAGTTGTTTGAAGGAAATGTGCACGGTGGATCAGTTGGTAGAGCTGCTGCCCCTCAGCGAGAAGGTCGTGAAAGGTTGCGTGTTGGACTGATTGGTAACTCTAAATTGTCTCCAGGTGTCCCTGTGATGGACCAGAGACATGTCCAGGGTGTCTCCCGCCTCTCACACAGTGACTGCTGGACATGACCCCCCCGCAACCCAAAAAAGGATGAAGAGGGTAAAGATGATGGATGGATGCTGGATGAATGAATGAATGATGGATGAATGAATGATGGATGGATGAATGATGGATGGATCCATCCATCATTCATTCATCCATCATTCATCCATCCATCCTTCATCATTCATCCATCCATCATTCATCCATCATTCATTCATTCATCCATCCATCCTTCATCATTCATCCATCATTCATTCATCCATCCATCATTCATCCATCCATCATTCATTCATCCATCCATCCATCCTTCATCATTCATCCATCCATCCTTCATCATTCATCCATCCTTCATCATTCATCCATCCATCATTCATCCATCCATCATTCATTCATCCATCCTTCATCATTCATTCATTCATCCATCCATCCTTCATCATTCATCCATCCATCATTCATCCATCCATCATTCATTCATCCATCATTCATCCATTCATCATTCATCCATCATTCATTCATCCATCCATCATTCATCCATCCATCATTCATTCATCCATCC